ACTAATCACTCGCTTACTATATATTCTCAATGCTCTGCTATTTTGAAGCATTGCTTGATAAAGACGAAAATATCTTCATCGAAATGTAGCAAGTTATTCATTTAAGTAATTGTTATCCATAAAATTGTGTCCAGTTATTTATTACCCAATTACTTAATGCCACTTAAGGAAGAAATACATACTAGCTATTCCTCTATATTGAAACACCATAACTGTTCAAAGATAACGTCAGAAAACACTCATATCTGTACAACTACAAGAACATCTGCCACTTAACTATTTCTGAAAGTTTTAAAAATTCTTTCCAATTAAGCTTATAATTTATATATTTTGCAGGCTGTGGTCACTGAATTACACCCACAATTTCTGCCTGGTTTCCATGGTGATTTCTACAAAGATACCATAGAGAAAAGAGATTCAATATGGCATGAAACAAATTATAACTCTCACCAATCACAGGTAAATAGACTACAGAATAATATTTCAATTTTCTTAAATTTATATATCATACTTTTGAAGTAGTTATCACCAATTTTTATGGTTTATTTTTGTCTAAATCTTGCATCAGATTGCCAGATAACTGTTGTTTGGTTATATTGAATTCAGGGCAAATTTAGTAGCATTCTGTGTATTATATTTTTGCTTTCAGAAACATGGATTAGATATGTTTGAATTGCCTGATACTAGAAAAACACATCAAAATCACCCACATGATAGAAATCACCATTTTTGTCACCCACATGATAGAAATCACCATTCAAGTCACCCACATGATAGAAATCACCATTCTAGTCACCCACATGATAGAAATCACCATTCTAGTCACCATAATCAATTACGTCATTATTCTAGTTACCATCATCAGCTGAATCACCACCATAATCAGTTAGATCATCATAATCAGTTAGATCACAATTCTAATCACCATCGTTCTAGTCATCATTTAGATATAGATTGTCACCATGCCTATATTCCCCTGCTACCTACATCTCCTATATTGGATTCCTGGAATTTCCCACCTTTACCCCAGTCCTCACCAACTTCACCACCAAAACTCTTTCCTCAAAGACTTTATTGATACCAGTATATAGTTTGATTTTGACTCTATTTATAGTGTTCAGATCTCATCACAATGTATTGTAGTGTTCAGATCTCATCACAATGTATTGTAGTGTTCAGATCTCATCACAACATATTGTAGTGTTCGGATCTAAACACAATGTAGTAAAGTGTTCAGATCTAATAACGATGTAGTGAAGTGTTCAGATCTAATCACCATGTAGTAAAGTGTTTAGATATGATTACAATGTTGTTCAGATCTAATTGCCACATAGTAAAGTGTTCAGATCTAATCACAATGCTGTTTCAGACCTAATCACGACGTAGTGAAGTGTTCAGATCTAATCACAATGTTGTTCAAATCTAATCACAATGTAGTGAAGTGTTCAGATCTATTCACAATGATGTTTAGGTCTAATCACGATGTAGTAAGTGTTCAGATATAATCACGATGTAGTGAAGTATTGGATCTAGTTACAATTTAGAGAAGTGTTAGATATCACGAAGTAGTGAAGTGTTCAGATCTCGAGAGCTTTTCCACCTGGTATTAATTATTTATTGCTTGTGTACATTATTGCTAGCATAGCATTATTTGTGATAGCCTTCATTGGCTTTATGAATTGTATAGGGTATATCTTACTGATACTGATAATGTGACCTAAATTCTGCCTACACCATCATGGTACTACTTTGACCAATTTACCCTTTGACCTTACTTTGTAAGTAAGAAAAGTCTAACATATTTTCATATAATATGTCTTCATTACTTACACATGTATGAATATTTTAAGTTGAAAAATTTTCATTGTACACATTATCCCTCATTGCACACTGCATGGCATTTCCCTGTATTGTTCCAAGTCTTAATTTAAGACATCAAAATTTAATTGTACACCAAGTATTATCATTTATTTGTTATTTTTGTTTTTATGATACGTTAACGATTAAAATATTTCATGTACTTTGAAATGTGTAGTCATTAACAATTTTGAGCTGAATTTTAGTTATCTGTATCCCTTTTCAGACTGGACATCCAAAGCCTGGTTCATCTACAAATGAAGAAAAAAAATAGAAGTAGCACCAGTCAAATGTCAAGGGTGTAAGGGCTCTCTGCCATGCATATATGACCATCATTAAGGTATATCAGTAATATCTGCATGGGAAATGGCAGCTATCTGTATCACTTTTCAATATGGAAATAGAATGTCTGGTTTGTCTACAATGAAGGAAAAATAGACAAGATAGAGAGTTAAAATACATCCATGGTGTTTTTAATTGTACCATATCAATATTTGGATATTTCAGCTCAATTGTCAATCCAACAAATGTTTTATTTATTGTAGACAAACTAGATGCACCAAAAAGACAATTTGACAATCATTATTGAATATTTTATTCATGATGAAGACATAATTATATTCCTATCATTAGTTTACAATAAAATTCTAATTCATATAAACAACATAAATCAATATATATAATTAGTAATTGTGCACACCTATTGCTCAAAACCTCATAGCTCATAAATGTTAGACAGCTAGAGTTAAAAAAACAAGTAAAACTTTGAAGTGTACTCAAAAATAATTGTCTGAATACCAGTATGTGCTTAACCAGCTGATAGAGCTTATCACAGAGCTATCTGTGATACATTCAAAAAACAATTGTTAAATGAAGACAGTATTGTGAGAGAACCTAAAGTCAGATTTAAATTCTGAAAAGAGATACGGATAACTGAGTTGGTTATTTTCAGCTGGTGGTAAAGCAACAATAAGAGACCATATTACTTAAACTCTGAATTGTTGAAGAAATTTTGAGCTAAAAATCTTAAGATAATACAAGTATGGCGCCTAAACAGTTTATATGATCTAATCTTGATCTTACAGTACAATGGCGTATAAGCTATCCTTAACTCTTATCACATACAGGTGATACTGGAAATGTATTTCTTGCTGATAAAGGACTGTATCCTTTATGACTAAAGGTATATGAGATCGAGTATGGACACAATAAATGACAATCTATCAGGCGATGTGAAAATTTTACAGGGTACAGAAAGATAAATAATGTTGCACACACTAAACGCAAAATTTCTTGCTTAAGTTATAACATAAGCCTGATATCTGGTCAACTATCCATAACAAACCAATCATCTGGTAAAAAAATAAACAATTGTGCTTCTATAAGTTATTTACATTAATACTTCAAGGGACAGGTAGGCCATTTTTTGGACCAATCATACTTAAGTCTCAGAAACTGGAATTTTTCAGCTGAGCTAATCAGTAATAATGTTCACAGCTCAGAGTCGAAATTTGAGCCTTCAGAATTATCTGCGTTTGAATATTAAAATGACGACTCGTCAATTTAAGATACTCTGTATAGAGAAAACATATATAGAAATAGTGAGTAAAATTCCTAGTATTTTAAAGGAACTATGTGATTTCTGTCAATTTCTAGTACTTCTGAAGACTATTTACATACATTAAAAACTAAAATTAACCCCATAAAAATGGCACACCTGTCCCTTTAATAATATTCAATAGCTCAGATAAATGGATAACCAACAGCTATAGTCATCTAATTTTGTGCTTTGATAAAACTTATTTCAGCTACTGTTATCTGTGCAATTTTAAGTGTGGAAATCCAGACCACTTATTTAGTCAGTGAGTTGAAGTTAGATTTTCATTGAAAACCATTTTTTGCATGATTATATACAAATGACATAAAATACATAGTTACACATGATCACAATGTTGTTGGCAATTGATAATATCAAAATAAACTTAGACAACAGAATGGCATTATTATTGTCGGAGCAAAGTAAAAAGTTTTGTGTATTTTTTACATAATTTTTAAGAGAATTGAAAAATCAGCGTCAATATAGTACTAACAGTTTTAGAATATCTTTGCATTGATAAAAATAAGTTAAAATTGAAATGAAACACATTTCTCTCTTAATAGTTTCAACCAAAAATAGTCCCAAAATTTGGCTGAATATTGTCCTCCGTAAAAACAAATTAGAACATATAATGTGTGCTCTTGCTTATATTTTTATCAACACAAAGATATTCTAAGACTAACAGTACTATTCTGAGGCTGATATTCCAATTCTTTTTTGTTAAGCATCATAATTTCAACAATTTCAAACCCAAGAAAAAATTCTATACCCTATGCATAACAGAAGGCTTAAAACCTCTTGGAAATATCTTAAAGAAATGATATTGCATTTAATATCTTGCAAAATAAATAGGTAAAGCTTGGTATTACATACCATCAGGTAGGTACTGGTAATTTTAATATCAATGAAACAAATCTTATCTGTCAGATAATCTATGTTTGAATAATATACATGTGTACAGGCGAGCAAGAATATTTGTGCTTATCTGTGTCCAATTCAAAGATCCACGAGATTGATTGACAGCTGAATATTGACCAATTCTTGATTTTTTTTTTCTTGTATCTAAGTGGGAGGAGCCTAAGCTGTTCTCACGGATTTATGAATTATGAGATCTCTTCTTAAATGAGGCAAAGTTCACAAACCAAATCACACAATGGCATTCTTAATGGGTGAGCATAACTAGACACCCTAAGCTAAAAATCAAATGACGTTTTGTGCTTGGACTAAAGAATTTCATTTTCAGAGATCATATTTATTCCTTTATGATTTCTGCTCTCCCTTACATTAAGAGATCATATTGATTAAGTTTTGATATTTGAGGGTAATATATCAAATAATATAATTAAATCAAAATTTTGTTACTTTTTTTAATATATCCTTCTTTATTGTAATCTAACAAGTTAAATAACACAGTTTGGTTCTACTGATTTTAACCAATCAGTGTAGTGGAGGACCTGTTTCATACTAATTACAATTTCTTTTTTTTTTATATTACCTTCTTCATTGTAATCTAAGAAGTTATCTAACACAGTCGGGTTCACTGATTTTTAACCAATCAGAGCGTGTAATGGACCTTACTAACAACAATGAATTGAAGGATAGCAAAACCAAAGTAAAGCAATATGACAGCTTCTTTGGGTTTTGCTATCCCACAATTTGCCATGAAAGTGTCATTAAATCTTAAAAGGAATAAAATATTTCTATGCAGGAAAGATTTCAAAATTGAAGTGACAAATTTAAGGGAAAAAATACAAAAATCATGACTGATAATTAAATGATCTATATTAAATATAAATAATGTCTCCCACTATTAGCTTAAAAAATATCACAACCCTAAAAAATAGCACTATTAATACAATACTGATTAAAATCATAGGATTATATCTCCGTTTATTTTAACTTGAGAAAGATCATTGGATAGTTAATCCAAACCAACTGTCCTGATGAGGATATTATATCTAAAACTCAGCAGCTCAATATATTATTTGGTTGATACTATCCTTACAATATATTACACAATTTCATTTCTTGGCATAATTTATATTTGATTAGATATTTTTTGGGTGAATGCAGACTCTCAGAAGCACTGTTACAGGCATCAGAATTTTTGTTATCTTGAGGATTCGAACCCACAGCACCTAAACACCTAGTAGACAAAAATTTTATTAGAGTAATTCTATTATTATTTTTAACACATCAGCCCAAGGAATCTTGATTTGGCTGAATTTGCCAGTCATTCCTGATTGCAGTCAATAAATATTGCGACTGATTTTTGTCTCAGGGAAAAATTTTGAATGAAAATTTTAAAGAATTATCATTGATATTTAACAACGATCCTTATTCTTATTATTAAATAAGATCCTGAAACATGTTACTTTGAGCTTCACGCTGTACGATCTTCAGACAACTGAATAATTAAAACCAGTGTCCCTTATAAACTTTGACAATCAGTATTTGTTCGTAATATAAGGTAGTCCTGTTTCTCAAGTTAAAACAACCCAATTTAAAATCCACTACAACAAATTCGATGACAATAACCTATGCATTTACATTTACACTGATGTTAACCCATTATATATACAGGCACAGAATACATAAAAACATGAGAAGAGTTGTTAATCATATAGGTGTTAAGGGGTGAGAGCTGACACTGGGCCGCCTCTTGAAAGCACTGGCACAGGCATCAGAATTTTTCTTACCATCATATAGGGTGGGTTTAAAAAAGTAACCTATTGCAATACAATTTTATCCTATTCTAATGTATTACATGATGTCTTTTTTAGCACCACCTGATATATCTTAATAGAATAAGCAGTTACTGAAAAATATAGATTGTTTTGATTAACACTTTTTCTACCTTACAATATTTTTAACTGTTTGTGTTTATGTGCATGAAAATCGTTGACAGTCTAGACGTATTTGAGTATATTACCTTTATCACTTTTCAATAATAAAAAATATCAAATAACATAGGTCTATAATTTATGCCTTATTAGGCATTGTAAAGAGGTTTTTTCAATGTGTATTGGAGACACTGTTAGCATTGATTTGTACTTAATTTTCAGTTAGAACTATTTTCTGTCACAAAAATAGTGCAAAAACTATCGAAGAGCTTTTTCGATCGCAATGTCATAAAACTAAGTTTCAGTGAAAGTGGTTATAAAAACAATATAAAATCAGTTGTGAGTTTGCAGGAACATAGCCAGACTAAAAAAAATTACTTTCAGTGTCCCTGATACACATACAAAGTATGGAAAACCTTTTTACAATCCCTTTAAGCATTATTGTTTTTAACAAGTTATATAAATTCCATTTTTACATGTACTGATTGGCATTCTAAAAAGGTTTACATATAATTATAATATATATATCAGATGACAAAAATATACTAAAACTTTATTCAAAATAGCAACCTAAGAATTTAAACTTGTTTTAAAGAATATTTCATAAACTATAAAGCACTATCGATGATAAAAAACACATTAAAATACAAACAAAACAAGCCTTTTCCAAAAACAATTAAAAATATTCATGAATATACATGTTTTCTTATTAACAAATAGCACTTAGACAATTAGCACTTTGACCATTAGCACTTTGACCATTAGCACTTTGACCATTAGCACTTTGACCATTAGCACTTTGACAATTAGCACTTTGACAATTAGCACTTAACAATTAGCACTTAAATGATGACGTTAACATTTCAACAACAAATAACAAATAATAAGTCTTTTGATAATAAAATTTCTCTGAATCTAATAAAACAATGATAATTTAAATTGATTAAAATAAACAATATTATATATATAAGATATGCCTTACTTTAACAGAACGGGACTATAGACACAAAGCCATCACCACTTCAATAAGGCATTCCTACCTTCAGTGCCTCAAATGCATTGTCTTTATTTCATTGTGCAACAAAGGGCATTTTATTCAACAACTATGAAAAAAACAATTATTTCACTAACCCGTAAACTGTTCTCCACAAGAAAAGATCAAATAATAAAATGACGTCTGTTTCTTTTTTCAGATAAGTTAGATTAATTACAGTAGACTCAGGTGGACTGGAGATTCAAGGCATCTGATTGGATTAGACACAGTTCACATAAGTGAATAAAAAAAACGGAGCGTCTCTCTAGCAACTGTGATCAAATAGATCAAGTGTTTTCAACCTTTTCTTTCCATTACCCCTTTCAGAATCAATTCCAAATTTTGCCAGTTTCCAGATCCACTTGAGTCCCATTGGGTAATATCACCCCTTTTCTTAAATACACAACGTTTAATGTATATTTTAATATTAGTCTATGTAAATATATGAGGTATGTAGATAAATATCTGCAGAATAGAGCCGAAGTTTTTTTCAAAAACTTTAATTGTAATGGATTTTGAATCTGAATCTGGATGTTGATTAAACTATTTTTGCAGTTATCATCAGATTTAGGGCTACACATCTTCACAATGTCAAGCTATTAGGAACTGTGTCTAATACCTTGACTGCAATAACTACCTTTCTTATATCACAAAATGCAGCCAATTGATTGTATTGTACAGCCAATCAGAGTCCTTGTCATAAAGACTATTTTCATTTTAACTTATGGTTTACAGACTTTCTGACGAAGTCTCTGATTGGATGTATTTGGTAATGCACAATCCAATCAAATTATTGCAGTCAAGGTATCAAACACAGTTTGTAATAGCTTAACATCGTGAGAAGAGGCCTTCTATAACTGGAAGCTTATGTGTATTTTGGACACAAGTGAACTATTTATAAAGCTTTTTAACACATTAAGAAAATAGTACTGGTATATGATCATATACTGGTATACTGGTAAGAGGTAAAAAGAATGACTTAGAAGCAAGAAGAAACATGAGCAAGTGATGCAATGGAAATGAGGTATTTTGATGAAATACTTAGTAAATTTATTTCCTATTATCAGTTCTGTTTTATCAACTTTTCACACTGTCTTCTGCTGCTTTCTTGTCTGAAAATGTAATGAAATGGAGTTTTACGTTCTGCTTTTCTAACTACCGCTATTTTAACCTGGGCTACTGTTGAAAAAAAATGACATGCAGTGTTCAATGAGGTAAATTTCCAACACTGACAAAATTCTAACTAATATCCATCAACTTCAGCTATCTTTTTCCCAAGAATGAAATGTGACATATAGTTCTACCACAATTAAAGAAAACGTTTTGATAGAAACCAAAGCTCAGTTGCTAGGCAGTCAGAAGTTATGAATATTCTTAAATACAAATATCATGATGTAGCTGCACAAGAGAATATGAAATGAATGGATTTTTCTGCACCGTGTGGGCTAATGAGGGAGATTTTGCCAGGACAGCAGCATAAGCCTACTCCTTTTCCAACTGTCAAGGGATCTTTAACGTGCAAAGCCTGTAACACACAGAGTGTCGGTTTATTATCCAATCCGAGCAACTAGACGCTTTATCATGTCAGCCTTCTTTAGCTGCATCACTGACAAGAGACGAAACCTGGTTGAAAAAGGCATCATCTCAACTTATGCTAGTAATGAACCCTGCACCTTCAGGTTAGCGAGCAAAGCTGCACAAGAGAGGGTTTTAAATTTTCTCAGATGATAAAGAAAAATTTTAGATGACAAAGTGACAGGTATTATTGCAGACTAACCTGGCCTTGGTGGTTTATTTAGTAAAAATTCGGCTGCCATATCACGCTGCATTTTATTAATGTAACATAAATGTGGAAATAGACTCAAGATTTCTAATAAGGTTTCACACATAGTGTTTGGATGACTTTCACATATCAATTGCACCAATATATCTAGATAATGAACATTTAATATCTGGACACTTTGAGCATTCTCCAGTATCAATTCATCTACAATACAAAATACACGTTATAAACAGAACAGGTCATTTAAAGGGACAGGTAGGCCATTTTTTTGACCGATCATATTTCAGTCTCAGAAACTGGAAATAGTGTTCACAGCTCACGATCGAAATTTGAGCCTTCATTTCCATGTGTGTCCAGAATTATCTGCGTTTGAATGTTAAAATGAGCACTAGTCAATATAAGATACTCTATGAGATATATAGAAATAGTGAGTAAAATTCTTAGTTTGAAGTATTTTTATAGGAATTATGTGATTTTCGTACATTTCAAGTACTTCTGAAGACTATTTATATATATTCAACATTAAAATCAACCCCCCAAAATGGCACACCTGTGCCTTAAGCAGATGATCAAACGTAAGCAAATCCAAATCAAAGATGTCCAATTCAAATAAGTAGTCTTTACTACTAAAATGAAGCAAAAGGCCTAGAATTGCCGTGCAGGAGTACCTGTACAAAGTTTTTAAATAGTTTTACAGCTTGAAAGATTTAAAATGGAAATGATGTGAAGACATTGTAAGAAAGATTTGATTTTCTTTCAAAAAAATGCCTTTCGATTAATAAGATTTCAACAGTTTCAGCAAAAGTATTTTTTACGAACATTTTTACCATCATTCTTAATCTTCATATTGTGAGATTAGAAAAGTCTAAGACTCTTAAGTTAGTTTCCACCTCCATATTTAGAGAGCTATGTAACCTTAAGGAGAAGAATCCATTGTTCAGAGTAAATGCGCATTTTCAGCTTAGGTAGAGATTTTTTTATGCTCATTTTTACCATCTTGCTTAATCTTCCTATTATGAGATTAGAAAAGTCTATAAATCTTTCTACCTCCTTATTTAGAGAGCTATGTAACCTTAAGGCAAGAAAAAGGAGTCTATTGTTCATAGCAAATGCACTAATTTGACATTTTCAAGTGAGACATAGATTATTGATATTTTATATTGGAAAAGATTAGGTTTAACTTGTTTCAAATATGAATAACAAATCAATGACACAACAGTAAACAGTAAACAGTAAACAGTCAGTGTCAAGTGTTTCACCAAATGAATCTGATTGGATGAGGACTTTTAGACTCGCAGAAAAAAAAAATCAGCAACAAAAATCAAGCTTGTTTGATATTATAAATTTGTGTGCAACGCGATAATCTTGTAAAAGAATCGTGGGCACACGCGATATTTTACTCAAGATTTGAGTAAGCGACAAAAATCGGCAACCAAGACTATTCGTGTGCTTGCACCAAGATGTACTATACCTTTAAACTTACCACAATCATAAGTCATTAGCTGAATGGCACTCAGAATTCCCACTTCTGTATCAGTTAACTTCAATCGATTAAATTTTTCAGCAAAAGCAAAGATGTGAGCAACCCGTTTCTCTGTTAAAAAATTCTTCATCCAGAATTTAGTATAAAATCTGCCATTAGGAAATCGAAGATAACTTTCACCATTAATGAAAAATTCACTTGTAGTCAACTACAAAAGAAAAATAGATTAAAATCACTTCCGTTTAATTAAATCAGAACCACTCACTCTCCTGGTTATTTCCTATTTCCTCTTTCAGGAATTTGTGTCCCATGGCGCCATGACATGTACTCTAGAAACCCCATTTATGCGTGGAATAAATCATATTATTCCAAAAATATTCTTTACCTGATATCCTGCAGTTTAAAAGAAATGAACATTCTTGATCTATTAAATGTGTATGAGTCAGTCATTGTCTAGCCTTTGATACAGAGGGTTGTTATTCTAGTCACATAGGAATAATTTATTGAAAAGATACAGTCATCTAAATATTTACTTAACAAGCTGATAGAGTTCAATTTCAGCTTAGCAGAAACACAATTGGTAACAACATTATTTCTATATCACTCCACAATATTGAGTACTATATGAACAGTTGAAATAGTTTATTATTTGTAACAACATATACAGTCAAAATAAAATTAGACCAAACTTTCGTTTCATTTTTTAGTAGCATTTATTTTTAATATAGTAACTTCAGTTACATGACTTAACTCGATGACGACTGCTTTAACCAATCAGATTTATATCCTCTCCAGCGCTGAGGTTTTGTGACGCGGCATTTATCAGGTTAGGTCAAAAGGTTAATTTGACAAATGTTCAAGACGGCTGTCATTAGATCCCACCTGAAGTGGTTATATTAAATAAAAGCTAATAAAAAAAATGAAATAACCAGTCAAAAGATAATTAGGCCATATCACACACAGTTCTTCTTTAATGTTCTAATTTTGAACTAATGAGCATGAATATGTGTCATAACAGCTGAATAAAAGTGAACAGCTTGCAGCATAAAACAATTTTATACCATATTAATCAATTAATTAGTTCAAGTCAGTAGAATAAATAATATACACACATTTGTAACTCATTCATATTCTACTGACTTGAATTCAAACTCTTTCAGTCTTTCAAAACAACTCAATAAATACTTACAGAGGGTAAAAAAAAATTGAGCTAACGATCCAAATCGTAAAAAAAAATACACACACGAAATCAGAATTGATGATAAGTATGGGGTAATTATTTTTCAGAAAGTCCTTTTCCTCCCTAGAAGGATAGCTTGCAAGGCAAGATAACATACGCCCACTGGCAGCTGTCAGAAATAATAAAACAGTCTTTAGTGAGTAAAGTACGAATTTTCAAAATCAGATGAAAACTGTAGTCTCTATAGTGCTGTATGTTGACTGACGGACCGACGGACAGGGGCGACGACAATATACATATTCATGTGGGCGTATAAAAATGGTTTGCATCCCCAATTGTACCCCCACTTTAGTTTTAACAATACGATTTTTATATTTTTCCCCAAAATATGTGTCAGAAATGCACTAATTCAATTCTCGAAAACTTTCTTAGGAGAACCCTCTCAGACGAACCATAGGCTTGCAACTACGACGCCTCAACAGTTGGCCCCCATTGAGTCAGTCTGCCCTCTATTTGTACCGCCAGTCTCAGGACGGTGGCGCCACCATTGATGTGTAAGGACTGTTATTCAGTTTATGAAGTAAATGACACCTACCATCCATATACTATAGTAAGCATGTTTTACCATTGGTTGTTGATCTTCAGAACATAAACTGGAAAATCCTGGCACTGAATTACAGAATCCTGCAACAAAAACAAAAAAATTCCTGATAAGTTACCTGTACATCTCAAATTGTTGCATAATTCCTTTAAAAATTCCTCAAACTATGTATTTTACTATCTTTTTCTATATATATCTTTTATATATAAGACAGAGTCTCAAGAAATGACCAGTCATCATTTAAACATTCAAACATGGTTAATTCTGGACAAACATGGATTCAAAGTCTCAAATTTCGACAATGAGTTGTGAACACTATTACTAATTGGCTTAGCTAAAAATCTCCCGTTTCTGAGACTTAAGTACGGAAGGAGAACCTGTACCTTTAACTACTGTTGCAGGACAACTATTAATTCTTCTCCCTACACAGTAGAAACTGTATTATGAGACCACTCAAGGGAATAATCCAAAACAGTCTCTTAATGGAGGTGGTCTCTTAGAATAGAATTGGGTCAGAATAAACACCAAAATTATTTTCTTTTTGAATTATAGATCGTTAATATATGGTCGCTGGTCTTGTAATGAACATGGTGGATTATCAGTCATCGGTCATATTGAAAAGTTGTAAGGAAGTTTTTATCGTAGTTGCATATTGAAGGTGGTTGCTTAGTAAAGGTGGTCGCACGAGCAGGATTCACTGTATTTCTATTGAGTTTGTTAGTACCCAAATTTAAAAAGTCCATATATGGCTAATAATAATTCAGTAAATAGTCTAAGGTAATTTCATTGTTTGTCTGGCAGACCATGTAAATTAACATAAACAAAACCTGGAACATGTGGACAGTTATCAAACAATGAGAAGTCAAAATCTATGAAAATGGCAGATTAAATTTAGAAATGTAACATAATGTTTCTGGCTACTTCTTTGTTTTCATTATGAAGAGTATCATGTGTTGCAGAATTATCAGTGTTTGAAAGTTAAAATGCTGACTCATCTTTTCCTGCAGTTCTAGTAAATTCTGAAATTTATTTACATGACTGTATGCAAGACCTAAATCAACACCTGAAAATGGACAACCATGCTAGTCTAGGGATGAATTGTGCTTCTTTAGTGTTTACAAGTTAAAAATTGAATGTTTTCAAAAACAAGGGCAATAACACCTACTCATATTATGGATTATTCTGATTTTTAACAGGGTTCATTCTTCAGTGATTACGAACACTTAACTAAGTTTCGTCAAAATCTGTCAACAAATGTGTCTTCTAGAGTGTTTACGAGCAATTGTGGACGGACAGATCGACGGACATGGGTGACGACAAAACACGCCCTCAATTTCATGTGTTCAATAATATACAAGACAAAAACCATCTAACAAAGTTTTTCTATACGCAATTTCATTTGGGAGTTTAAAAAAATCTAAAGGGATGATGCATAGAGCATACCAAAGACCTCTAGTTTCTATGCTTCAAAACTCAAAAGAACACAATAATTTAAAAGTAAATCTTGAATTCACAATTTCCAAATTGGATTGTTATCTGTGACCAGACTGAACTAGTTCTTTTTTTAAAAATAGATAAAAGTGAGAGTACATAATTAGTTAGCCATTATCTATCCATATAAACCTAATTCATTAAATTTTATTCATAAACAACAAAGATACGTCAGAAATTTCATCATCTTCTTTTTTTTTCTTTTTTTTCTTTTTTTTTTTTAAAGATTTAGCATATTAAGCAGAAGTCATAAAGGAAAGCCTTTCCATTCTATCAAAAAGTAGGACAGAAAAATCTTCATTACTAAAGGTAGTGTTGGCGTCAGCCTTCCATGACTGGGGGTACAAATAGGGGGTACAGACTGACTCAACTGGGGGACAACTGCTGAGGCTGAATTCAAAATGTGGCAACTACTCGCCAGTCTCTTGTGGAGTGTTTGAGAAAGTTCTTCAAGAAAATTTTGGAAATATTGAATTGTTTTGGTGCATTCAGACAAATATCTTTGGGCAAAAACGTATAAAAATCAAATTTTTTTTAATTTTTGAAAATATAAAGTAGGGGTACAATTTGCGGTGAAAATCATTTTTCTCGCTGCCACTGACTATAAGCTTATGGAAAGATTTTCTGCTCCAGGACATGCTAAAATCCTGCACGCATGCATGAATGTGATAAAATATAAAAAAAAAAAAAATTTCAAAATATTCAGAAAAAATCCAAAAATTACAGAACACTGGGATTAAAAAAAAAAAACATGAGACAATGAGCTCTAGTACAGTTAATTCTACAAGAATGATATCATAATATTCAGAAAAAATCCAGAAATTACTGAACACTGGGATTCAAAAGATGCAACATGAGACAATGAGCTATAGTACAGTTAATTCTAGAAGAAATCTGTACTAAACTCAAATTACTGTATCTCCTTTAAGGAAAGATTTCTATCAATGAATTATTTATCTAATGTGATCTATAAATAGTAATAGTCTGAAACCTGTCATGTTTAAATAATATCCAGACCGCTTTTTTTTCAACCGAGATTCTCTGTTAATAAAATAATGGAGTATTGTCATGTTTCAATTCCTTCAAATTGGTACTTTTAATAACTTGAGATCGTTTATCCCCCAGACTAAAGGCTATAGTTTGTCAATATCCGGGTTGATTTGGGTTTTGAATAAAAGTACATAGTCTGTAGAAGTGCTAGAAACGTACAAAAATTGCATAATTCCTTCAAGAAAATCGCATAATCCCTTCAAAAATACCTCAGACAAGAATTTTACTTTCTTTTTCTATATATGTCTTTTCTATAAATGGCAAAGTCTCAAGAAAAGTCGAGTCGTCATATTAACTTTCAAACGCGGATAATTCAACGCTCAGATTTCGACGGAGAGCTGAAGTAGGCAGACGACATATAATGATCAAAACTATTAAAAAATTTAAGACAAGAGTTCTAAAGTTTCAGACTACTTGGATGACTTCAGGGCTGTAACTAAACGAAACATCTGTCTCTATTCCAGCCTCTGATAGCAATTTGGACACATGTTAGCTGGTGTAGAGACAGAAAAAATAGGCCCTGTTAAATGGGGACATTCCGCATCTCTGCTGGTGCGGGGGGTTTAAACCTATTTAGATACCTTGGATCTGCAAAAACTGACAACTGTCAAAATATCCATCAGAGGCTGGAATGGAGGACTTTTTTCTATGAGGCCTTATTGCCTTGATGCATAGTTACTGCCCTGGTCCCATAAAAAACTTGCAATCAATCTTGCTGTAAGTATGGTTTATTTTATATGACAAATTCTACACTTACAACAAATTCTAATCTTCAGATTTTTTGTGTAATTGATTCCTGGATTTGTAGAATCTAATTTAATTAAATTGAGTCTGATGTACAAGTTTCTCATGAATATTGTATGGTCTGAATATCAAGTTACTTCCCTTGATTAAATATGAATGAAGGAGAGTTTGTAACGAGATTTTACTAATAACATTAAGATGACCTACAGGGCATATATCACCAACTCACGGATACTTCGATTTAAAATGTCTATGGTTTCTGGAGATATCAGGATATGTTATGCCTTAAGATTTAGGTCAAAATGGCTGATTAAATGTAATCAAATCAAATAAGATGAAATAGGCCTTAAAGTTAAAGGGACAGGTTTGCTATTTTCAGGGGTTCATTTGGGTCTGGGAGATACGTAAATAGTTTTCAGACGAACTAGAACTGTATGAAAATGGCCTCAAACGAGGAATTTCACTTTCTATTTCAATATATTTTTTTTCTATATATGTCAGAGTCTCAATAAAAGATGAGCCACACATGGATTTAAAGGCTCAAATTTCAACGGTGAGCTTCGAACACTGTTACTGATTAGCTCAGCTTAAAAATTCCAGTTTCTGAAACCTAACGTGGTTAAACTTTAACTCCATCAATAAAGTACCTCGAGCTCTGATATCAGAAAGTTTGTATTTTAAGATCAATGTTTGATTGGTTAATTCCATCATTTTTATTAAGATTAACCAATCAAAATCCATGGAATCACTGAGCCAAGATCAAAACTTAGTCTTGAATCCAAATTTTTCAGCATTTTACCAATGAGTTGGACTTAATGACTTAGTAAGAAATATTCCAAAACGGCTTTTACCTAGTCCTCGTTTTAAGCCAATAATAAAAACCTATAACAAATTTGTCTTGAAGTACACTTGGTTCAAATTGAGATTCAATTTATTAACGCAGAATGTGATACATTTTAGATTGATATGATCATCATCAAAATCTATTTATAGCTAGAAATTCTGAGGATTGCCGACAAAGGACATAATCATGTTAAATCTAATACTAAACATGTAACTTATAACTCTCCAGTAATAGAAATCACAATTCTCAAAGCTTCTTTACTGATGGATCATTACTGGCCTTTAATTGCTTAGTCTCTTAACACAGTGTCTCCATGGTCTTATTAATAAAAACCTTTCTCAATCTTGTGGTTGGGATTCAAAACACAAAACTAAATCTACTTTCCACCCATGATCTAAACAAATTGTTATGAACACATGTTCTACTACATTCAAATATTCAACCAATCAATCAACTCTGTTAGAAATTTTCAGTGTTGATTCTGTAGAAATCTAGTATTTTAGATTATTAGAATCAAGTTTGATGCCATATTAAGAGGCACAAATGAACACAAGTTAAAGACGAATTTCTTCAGATCATGCATAGCGAGTGAAGTAAACTTTGAAATAGATAAGTGCGCCATTTATTTGACCAATCGAATCCTTATCAAATTTTTAATAGCCAAGCCAATCAGTTATAGCGTTCACAGCTCACTGTCGAAATATGAGCCTTCAAATCTATGTGTATCCAGAATTATCCGCGTTTGAAAGTCAAAATGACAACTCGTCTTTTCTATAAACACTGCCATATATAGAAAAGACATCTATAAAATTGGAAAAGAAATTCTTTATTCAAGATATTTTGGAGAGAATTATGTGAATTGTGTACATTTCTAGTACTTCTGAAGACTATTTATATATATTCAAAACTAAAATCAACTCCACAAAATGGCACATCTGTCCCTTTAACTATGGGTTGACAACAACATGGCAATAGAAATTACATTTTTATAAACAGTTCCTTACCAATAATTCTTTTATTAATAATAGGTATTCCATTAATAACTAAATCCCACACTTCTTTGACTGTTTCTGGTGTTTTAGGTTCCACTGGTACTTTACCCTAAAAATATTCAAAATTGTAGATAACATAGAAAGATATTAAAGGGATTAGAAGGAGGTTATCTACAATTTTTTATGTGTATCAGGGACACTGATAGCATCAACTTCCGCCATTCCAATTTTCAATCAGATGTCTATGGTTCCTGCAATTTTACTTAAACCAAGTGTTTGATGACTGCATTAATCATGAAATATGCTTTTGCAAAAAAAGACCCTTCGTGAATAGTGATGTCATCAAACATTTACTTTACTTTGTGTTGGCACGGTGAATCAATTACTTTATATATTCAAACTTTGAAGATAAAGTGTTAATTTTTATCCCATTACCCCATATCTTGAATCATATCATGACCCTTGTATCGTGATATGTATCATATCATGACCCTTGTATCGTGATATGTATATCATGACCTTTGTATCGTGATATGTATCATATTGTGACCCTTGTATCCTGATATGTATCATATCATGACCCTTGTTTCGTGATATGTAAATCATGACCCTTGTATCGTGATATGTATCATATCATGACCCTTGTATCGTGATATGTATCATATCATGACCCTTGTATTTGTGATACATTTCTTATCATGACCCTTGTATCGTGATACTTATCATGGCATGATTGGTGTTACCCAGCACTATATTCTGTACATGACTTGATGTATAGTTTTGCCTGTATGAAATTTTAACCTATTTTGAAATACGTTACTGGTTTCAATCCAAATCAGGGCCAAGATCTATTCATTTGATCCCACATTTTATTATTTTTTCATTAGACAATGCGTATTTGATTTTGGTATTTTCTATTCAACTGTTCACCCAATAATTTTTTTTCAAAATGCACCATTTTTTGACCAATCATACTTCAATCTCAGAAACGGGATTTTTTTAGCTAAGCTTATCAATAATAATGTTCCCAGATCACCGTCCAAATTTGAGACTAAAATCCATGTATGTCCAGAATTATCTGCATTTGAAAGAGACTCTGTGATATATAGAAATAGTGAGTAAAATTCCTAGATTGAAGTATTTTTAAGGAATTATGTGATTTTAGTACAATTCTAGTAGCCTACTTCTGAAGACTATTTTCATATATTCAAGACTCACCCCAAAAATGACACACCTATACCTTTATGTGGTATCTCTGTGTATAAAAAAGCAAAAACCAGGGATCTACATTTTACATTGCTTGGAATTGATTCTACCAAAATTTATTATTACATCTCAAAAAAAAAAAGTAGAACAGAATTGATTTTGAAAATCTAAGATAAACATCACAATGTTCAATATAAACTGGTTGAAAATTTAAGTACAGTACAGATTGTTGTTCTACTTTCACTTTGGCAAGCAGACATATTAGACTAATTATAGGTATTAAAATATTTTGCTCAAAGCTGTTCTAGTAAACATTTCCTGCTTGCCGTTCATGTGAAAAGGTTTTGAAAATAAAGTCATTTATGTTTAATACTACTGTTTAACGTCGACCTAAAACTTGACATTTAATACCAGTGAACTTGTTTGATAGTTAGTGGCATCAAACTACATACTTCGAAAAAGTTTTAGAAATTTCAAACGAATGCATTATTCTTACTATTACCATGTAACCAGTAGCGTATTTACGTGGAGGGTCTTTGGACTGTTAAAGGTCTTATTTCGAAGTGAAAATCAAGCCCTCTAAACGCTTTAAGTAACGCGCAGACACAAGCATTTGCTCACTCGTGGAAAAAATTATCAAACACGTTTGATTTCAACTTTTCGCCACGAATGACCAAAATCTTACATAAATTTACCCACACATGGAAGCTATCGCTTTATGGAGAAGTGCAAGAATGAATTCTGGCTGAGCTGATGGCTCGTGTGCGCCAGATTTGAAATTCATTTCAGTCCATCTGAAACCCACTTATGAGACCCTCTTCCTCCCCCTAAGGCTATTTCTAGATATGCACACGCATGTAACCTCCATAATTGTGTCTGCAATAATGTTTGTCAGACATTTTGAAAAGTTCACTTTAAATAAGATAAATGAGATAAGTAGCCAATGGCGACTGTTCGAATACAAATCATCCTCATTAATGGTCAGCTTATAGCGTGACAATTTCAAATTAGATCAATCAAATAAGCTTAATTTATCAGGATTCATTTGTTCTAGAAATGTCAGAAGTATTCAGTGGAAAAATTTCCAGGAGGCATTAGATGTTCAATAGAATCTTGGTCACAGTCCGCCTCTTGAAAAGAAATCTTACAAATAGGTATTTCATGAAATCACATCAGGCTCTACATCCTACAGTTTTCTACACTGTAAGTTTTTCAAGGACAAACAACATCATGTGGTCATCAAAGATGTAAATTGGCATGGCATTAATGATATTGATACACTATTCCTGATTTTAGCTTGGTAACTCACATGTTCTGACCACAAGACCTTGGCAGCGCCAGTGGGGATACAAGGGGGTGGAATTTCCACTCCTAGAAAAATGGTTTGTATCCGAACTGTACCCCCACATCAAATCTTACCGATCTAAAAATATGATATTTATATGTTTTTGACTCAAAATATGTTCCAGAATGCACCAAATCAATTCTATTTTTCAAAAATTGTCTTGGAGGAAAACCTTGTCACCCACTCCATGTGAGGCTTGAAGCTATAAATTTACATAGAAATATTGCATTTTGAATCTCAACCTCTCACTTTGTACCCCCAGTTTTATTATTTCCATTTATGCCTCATATAGCCACTCTATTTAGGGTCTAACAACAGCCTTCTTGATGGTTGTCAAATTAATCTGACCTAAACTGATAAACAGTGTGTCACAAAATGCCAGCACTGGAGAGGGTAGAATTTTGATTGGTTATAGAAGATGTTATCGAGTAAGGTCAAAAGCTTAATTTGACGAATGTTCAAGAGGGCTGTCATTAGACCCTAATTGAAGTGGCTATATTAAAAATATAAGCTAAAACGGAACAAAAGATTAGTCTAATTTTAATTAGACTGTTATGAATAGACACTTGCACCAAATCACCATCTCATTATAAGCATTCACCAGAACCTCTGAGGCCATATTAATTTCGAAATATTTTGGGACATTAATATTCCGAAGAAAACTGAGGCAAAAGAAAACCATCAATCACAATAAATTCTATTTGTTATATATTCCTTTGGGCAATTCCCAGCAAAGAGTTAAATATCAAAGTTCAGCTAAGTTCATCTGCTTATTTTTCAATTTTGCTAATATGTGATAATGGATTTAAAATCTAAAAATATCATTTTCTTTCATTCTTTCTGTTTAAAGTGAAATAATCATCTTAAAGGTATAGAGTGTCTATTATTATTAGGTTTGGCAGCTGTTATTGATTTTAAATAAAATTTGGCAGTACAGTAACAATCACCAGTATGAAATATTCAACCTTCAGTTATACACTTCTTTTGAACTTTTGGGGGTTCCCGCAAGTTCTGGCAAGAATCGAGCCTTTTAGTGTTTATGTTTTCAAGAAAAAAGTCAAGAACTCATTTAAAATAATTTTTTGATTTTGTGGGTGAAAATATACAATTTCTCCAAATCTCAAAATTTGTCAAGAAATAAGAGTGTTTACAAGCCAAAATTTGAACGGGTTTTTAAGAACAAGGGCAATAACTCATACTTAATATTTTTCTGATTTTTAATAGGGTTCATCCTTGGGTGATTACCAACATTCACACCAAGTTTCATCAAAATCCGTCAAGAATTGTGCTGTCTGGATTGTTTGCGAGCAAAAAATTGAACATGTTTTCAAAACAAGGCAATAATGTCAAATTCTCTGAAGAATTGTGCCTTCAAGAGTGTTTTCGAGCAATTTAAGAACAAGGGCAATAACTCATAATAAATATTTTGATGTTCATTAGAATTCATCCTTGGGTGAAAACAAACACACATACCACATTTCGTCAAAATCTGTCAAAAACTTGAACCTTTTAGAGTGTTTACGAGCAATTGTGGACAGACAGACATGGGTGACGCAAATATGATAGTGTCAGGGGTGTGGCCAACTTGTATAGGAGAAGAAATTATTTGGAATTGAGAGAGCACCTCATATTAACACATGCGGAAAATGTGGATGAAACAAATTTTTGGGGGTGTGAAAGGTCCAGGTGTTATATAATCAGATATATAATCTGATAAATCAAAACAACTTAGTAAGTATCCATAAATTTGCAATTAACTATTGAAAAACGCTTAATATCAACATTAAGTGTTTTTCAATACTTACTTAGTTTTATGAATTTTCCAGATTTTACAGGGATTCTGTTGTAACTTTATGACACCAGGTAAGTTCACTGATGAATATATACTCATATTGACCATTCTTGAGAACTGAAATTTTATGTTCATTCTAAGACGTAGTATCACTTTAAAATCATCTTCATGACAAATGTCACTATGTCTTGCACCAGATCAAACTTCTTGGTTTTTGTCACGAGTTATTTAGTTCCAGTATCTAATAGTTTGATTGACGTTTGAAAGATAATTACAAATTCAAGCTGATTGTAAAATGTTGTGAAGAAAATCACATGAAGGTTAATACAGCCATTGACTAAAATCCGAATAAATAATACTAATTAATGACGAAAGAAATACATTCACACAAACTGGCCAAGTTTTATCATTAAGCATGGCTAATAAGGCAAGCATATTCAGACTTCTGTGAATGAATGAATCTTTAAGTGAAGAGGTGAGTTAGGGCCACAAATTGTCAGGGGTCAAGGTCACAGGCAATTCTTTACCATGAAAACAAATTTGAGACTGGAGGTGCAAAAATCGTGGCTGCCAAGAATCTTCATATACATATGGCAAGATGGAAAACAGGATTGTTAACATATTTCTTTGCCAATCGGACATTTTTAATGGTATGTGAAATCAAAATAGGTCTATTTTCAACAGAGAATCTACACCGGGGATCCCAGCGCAAAATAAAAAAAATAAAAAATATCAGCTGAGAGTCAAGGGGATCATGGGCTCCCGTGTAGGGGTACAGAGGTAGAATGATACCATTTTAAGATGCCTTGGAATTCATTTCTTATATAGAAATAGAATAGAGGAGAGCTGTATAAATTACTAAGCCAGACCAAATATTCTCGAAACAATCTTAGCGCTAGGATATCCTAAAAACAGTGTTTGATATTAAGACTCGAGGACGTCCAAGCGCTAAAATAGTTTCGAGAATCCAGGACCAGTATTTTAAGAATAAATTCTATCAAAATGTTGTTAATTAGTCATTCTTTCGCAAGCGAATTTTTAAGCACAATCATGAAGGGGTAAAATTTTGCCACTGACCACGTGACCAGGAATAGCCATTATGAACATCACATGATATCAGAATCAAGTTTATATCTATTGCCCGACAAAATTCTTGCCACAAAATTGTATTTAATTGCTGGCGTAAATAATCAACTGAAAAAATCTAATATTTTTTATGCCAGTGATTCGTATGGGCGTAAACAAAATCTTCATTGACATGAACTGGCACACGAGCAAATTTTTTTAGCTATATTAAAATTTTTCACTATTTGTCGATAAAATACGTTTGTCTGCCACCAGCATAACCAATTCTGCTAAATTCATAAAGTTTCAAGCCTTTTTCCATCACACTGTTAAAGAACGACACACATGATAAATTAGTCCTATGAAATTCCCTTGCAAAATGGCCATGATAAATGATGATGTAATATCATATATGAAGACACTTTCTAATTTGTTTTCTTTTCTTTTATGCAAACATTTTTAGAAAAATACTTCTTCGGTTTCTGCTGATCATGTTGTAAAAATATGCAAAAGTTTTATGCCTTGTAGGGTTTTTATTACCCCACCCCTTTCAGGATACATGACCGATTACATTAGCCCGTTTCACCTTTTAAATCCTGACTATTTCGTGACTTATATTGGCCCTCCTTATCAAAAGAGTTGATATAAAACTCCATTGTTTCATTTTCAAAAGAAATTTTTGTCCACCAGAATGTCATCATACATAAAAGTTTGAAGATCATATCAGATTTTAACAGTGAGACTTTGTTGTTATTGTAGAAATATCATTATACAAACAATACCAAGAATTATCTTGCTTTTAAATCTCAAATCCATTAAAACAATATTTCACATATTAATTGACCCAATTGCCATGTGTCCTTGAAACGAGCTTCAGATATCATATACTATAGATTAAAATCATTTAAAATGTAAATGTACATGTATCTCTATTATAGAAATATTAAAACAGAACCTAAAAAATGACATATGATCTTCAGACTACTGACCTATATAATTCAGCCTGGGTCTCTAAAAAAAAATGTTGTTACGCAGAGTTTCACGCTATGTGATCTTCAGGCAACTGACCTATATAATTCAGCCTGGGTCTCTAAAACACATGTTGTTACTCATATTTTCATGCTATGCAATCTTCAGACAACTGGTATTTCTATAACTCTCTACAATTGATGTATTGAGCTGTATTCTAACAGTGGTATTTCTATATTATTTTAACAGTGGTACTTCTATATCTCTCTACAATTGATGTTTTGAGCAGTATTTTAACAGTGGTATTTCTATATCTCTCTACAATTGATGTTTTGAGCAGTATTTTAACAGTGGTATTTCTATATCTCTCTACAATTGAAAATATTGTATTGTATCTTCATTGTATATAGGAAAGACAAGAAATGAAGTATTATTTTCAATAATATTTTCAATTGGCATGCCATGTCGCGATTCATCTACCGTATATCGTGCCAGTACTTTTACTAACACCAATACAGTAAAACAAACATAATTGTACAGATTCAAATCATCAACAAGTTTAATTTTTATTTTATTTTAATCAAGAACTTAAAGAGTAAAAAATGTGATTTATTTCTGACTTGTATTGTTGTTTCTATTTCTATCTGTCTAAAAATAGAATGGACAATGTGAACCAACATCAACAAAATGATTTTCTGCAGACGTCAAATTGATAAATAGTGCTTACCCCATTTCTCAAGAATTCTTTCACAAAGGTTCTATTTTCTCTCAAGTGTTGGTTGTAATTCTCCAAAGCCCTTTCGATTTGATTGACCGTCTTGGTGATCCAATCACCCATTTCACCTTTCTTTTTATGGCTTCGTTTAATCAACTCAAACACATCTTCCATGGTGTAATGTTTATATTTACCGATGATCTTAAAAAAGTCACTATCAAAAATGGATTCCAATTTCCCGTCTTTGCCAGGCACTTGTATGTCATATTGTTGATTAAAATTATTGTGTGTGTTGTTTGACAAATTAAGGTCACTCTCTGTTTTAAGGTCACTTTGCTGTTTCTGTGAAGGCGAATACATCATTTCTGATGAACTGCCATCTGAAATGTCAATGATTTTTTGAAGACTTGACTCAGGGTCATCGAAAGCAGATATGTTGTTTGTGCATGGTGTAGTTTGACACATTGGTTGTTGAAGCCCATTAGTTGAAGGTTTTGAAATTGGAGACGCTGTTTGTAAGCCATTGTTCTGAAAGCTGAATGAATTCTCCATTCGCATGTCCAGAACTGTAGCAGGTGGACTGTCGATTCTTTCAAAATTGTCCTGCCAATGTCTGTCACTTGTGGAGGCGGAGCTAGAACTACCCACAGATGAAGAAAGAGACTGGAAAACTGGAATGCCATTATCACCATAAATATTTTCACTTGCCAGACGCTGAAGAATTGTGTTTTTGATATGTTGACCACCTCGTTTTTCAACAGCTTGATCAAGAAGGACCTTAATTACGTCTGGACTGAAATGATTTCGACTTCCCGAGGAACTATCGTCGCTACCTGGGGTGCAGGTATTACGTGGAATTAGGGGGTAATTTGTATTTTCAAACACTGGTTGAGATGTATTGTCATATTGGGGATCTGTTTTAATTTGGTCATTTGCAATGTCCATACCAGACCAAAGAGGTAGAGGATTAAAATCGTAGCGGTTGTGAGAGAAATTGGGATCAAAATTATCTGGTTGTCTGTCACATGATGCAAAGGAAGTTCCAGCTTCCTGTTTGATATTTAAAGGTGGGATCATCATCCTTGATCCTGAGGCAAAGTTATTATTTTGGAAATTCATGTTGGTATCATGATTTTCCATTGGAGTAGTATCCATGGGTTCAGCAGGAGGACTGGTTCTAGCTGCTTCTAAAGCTTTTTCTTTTTCTATTTTAGGTATTCTTCCCATCTTTACAGCTGAAAAGAGAAAAGTTTTAATATTAGCATCAACTTATGTGTAAAGTAAATATATCAAGTGATGTTTCAACCTACAAACAAAAGTCGAGCAGACTATGTCAGTTACATAAGTCAAATTTTTTAGTTTAAGTTTTAGTCATCTAAAACATCTATGTTTAAACAATGAGTCGAGATGAATCAAGATCAAAAGTTTTGCAGAATTTTACCAAAATTTATTTTTGACAAACATACCATACTTGAGAAAATATAAAACTCACATAAAAAAAAAAAGGAAAATAAAATTTGAATCCATATTAAATTAAAGTCTGAGGGCAGAATCCCATTGTAAATAAATTGACTGCAAGGAAAATAATTGTTATCTATTCAAGCCTACTGATTATTCTATATCAACATTTTAGAAATATTAAACCAGAACTCTAAAAAAACATGTTGTTACTCAGTTTCTGAGTAACAGCATGATTTAACTTTTGTTTTAATATTTCTATATCTCTCTACAATTGATGTATTGAGTACTATTTTAACAGTGGTATTTCTATGTCGCTCTACAACTGATGTATTGAGTACTATTTTAACAGTGGTATTTCTATATCTCTCTACAATTGTTGTATTGAGTACTATATTAACAGTGGTATTTCTATATTGCTCTACAATTGTTGTATTGAGCACTATTTTAACAGTGGTATTTCTATATTGCTCTACAATTGTTGTATTGAGCACTATTTTAACAGTGGTATTTCTATATTGCTCTACAATTGTTGTATTGTACTATATAACAGTGAAAATATTCTATTATTATTGTATTCTACACTTTATCACATGGAATGGAGTTAATGGCACCTGATAAGGCAACTCCATGATGTGTGTGATGAGGGCAATTTTGTCATACAAGCCTACTCATTTCTTATTTTTAATGTTCAAGGGATCCTTAACGTGCACAACCTGTAGCACTTGGGGTCTCATCCGAACCACTTAAAGATTTTCTGCATCATTAATTACGGGGGAAACAGGGTTGAAAAATCTTAACCTATGCTGGACTTGTACAATGGACCTTCAGGTAAGTGAGCAAGCGTCTAGCTCACTGAGCCACTACAGCTCCTTCAGAAATATGACAAAATCCATCGTTTGCGAAAGAAATATCTGACGGAGGAGAGTTGATCAACAAGATTTGGAATGGAGGATTTGAAATATCATACCATCTATTGCCATTCCTGTATCTAGACATTTCTTGAAACGACAGGCTTTACATCTATTCCGATTCTGAGGACTAATAACACACTGGCCACCGAAAAAACACTTGTATTTCTCTCCTTTCGGTATACTCCTTCTGAAGAATCCCTGAAATACAGAAAATAATTGCTTCTTAGAGATGGATGAAAGCAACAAATTTGCATTTATGAAATCATGAGTAATACATAGCAATATGAATATTATGTAGTCTTATTAAAATTAGAACAATCTTTCATACCATTTTTATTAGTTTTTATTTATAATATAGCCACTTCAGTTAGGGTCTAAAGACAGGCCTCATAAACATTCGTCAAAATAACCTTTTAACCAATAAAATTTCTGCCTTCTCCAGCACTGGCATTTTGTTCAAGTGTGGAGGAATTTGATCGGTTAAAGCAGATCTCATCAGATTTGGTCAAAAGGTTATTTTGAGGCATGTTCAAGAGGGCTGTCTAAAAGACAAACTCTAACTCTAACTGAAGTGGCCATAAAAAACCAGAACGAAAGTTTGGTCTAAATTCAATTAGACTGAATACAATGCAAATCTACGAGTCATGATTTGTGTTAATTTTGTGGGTGATATAACATGCTATTCAAGATCTAGGGGAATCACATGGTCGCTACTGTAAAAATTTTAGTTGTTTTGTTTTATATATTATCATGAATGACAGACATTTTTTACAGGAACTATGTCAAAATTGTCATGTGATCACGTGATTCTGGTAATTTAAATATTAGAGACTGGTCATTCAGAACTACAGGTGATTGTAAACAATGACAATGAAAACAAAACACCTGTAAAAGATGTATTTCAAAATCATAATAGAATATGTAAGAGTCAGAATTATCTCCCAAAGTCTCTAAATTTAAGGACTATATTTAGGTCGCAATATTACAATTACATGACAAATCACTGCTAAATACCGGAAGTAAAGAGTCTCACCCAAGACACAACGGAATCAACCATTCATTACAAAGACATATTCAGCTTTACGGAAACTGTCGAAGATTGCCGATTGATAATGTATAACATTTGAAAAGTAGTTCAATAAAACACCATGGTAATATCTATTATCTATATTTAATATTTACCTGGTGTAACTATAATCTTATCTACTTATCTAATCAATATCTTGACTTAGATTCAAATTACTAATATATTAACAATCGTAATTCTGAAATGGGTGTGATCCTCTTCGACAGTCAGACTTAAGAGTGCATACTTGTTAGAAGTTGGAGAAATAATATAAGACATGCTGAAGAAAGAAAAAATTTCTATAATTTCTTTAAAGTACATATCGGAGACATGACAAATCCAACTCCAACTAGCACTCCACTGGGAAATACATGTGATATGACATTTCCATACTGAAGCAAGCCCAAAAAAACAAAAAAACCTAAAAAGCCAATGAATTAAATTTGTATGTACCCTTCAAGCATGATTTTCATAACTAATGAAATCTACATTTGGAAAAAATAAATCCTGTAAGAAGTTAAAAGGTATGTAAAAAAGCCATTCATCTTATGATTTTCTCTCTGAACTAACAAATCTAATATTGCTTCTTGACAATGACATTTATAAAGCGAGGTAGACAAGACAGTAAGTTTTATTTAGCATCAAAATTCTCAGGAATTGCGTAAAAATAATGTCCTCGAAAATCCTTTAATATATTTGTTTTAAATAAACATTTATCAATTTGATAAATGTTTTTTTTCTCTAAGGTGCCAACATTGATCTTAAGATATTGATATGAAATTTGATTTCTATGTCATTAAAATAATAATCCTATTCGGAAGCTTGCAAACACTAATACCCTACTTCCGTCTTGAGATAAACAATGTTGATTTAACATGACAGTCTATAGATTTACAATTGTCAGACGCCATGAAATGAGAAAGCTTGCTTTAGACAACGTTTAAAATGATAAATGGATAACATGGATTTCCAGCGATGGCCATAGACTTCCCCTAAATCGCCGTTGTTTTATCCCGAGGAGGAATTAGGGAACAAGTGTGTTGCGCATGCTTACGTATAATTCGGAACTGGCTTATTGGTTGCCATAAATATTCATAGATTAAGAGAAGATTTGAATGAACAAAATTTCTATAACAATTTCTTAAGATCTAGAGATCACAATTGTTGTAATCTGATGCAGAGAAAAACCATGGGAAAGAATCTGTATGTGCTTTTAATAAGATCAAAAGATGCTATATAGAAATAATGTAGGTAAACGAAGATCCTGTTTTCCAGCTGGTCCTTGGCAACTATAATCACATGTATGAGGAAAGATGACTCCTTCACAACACTTTCCCACACCAACTGTGTTAAGAACCCACAACCACCATTAACTGCACATCAATTTGTCCTCAATCATGATTTTATACAATTTCAATAGTGCACAAGTACTGAATTAAGATAACAATGTCATTATTGTACCATTAAGCATCATTATAAAATACTCCAGAAACAAATTATATTTCTCAAGATATTATCATTACAAAATGGCACATAAAGACCACAGACTAATTGCAGAATTGTTTATCGTTGCTATGTGACCTTTATTTGTTATTCTTGAAGAAAAGCAATAGATTTTACTACCAACTTTAACATCGTCAACACATTATCTTTCAGTTCTAACTTCTTTTATCTAAAAAGACTAAATTAGTTTGTACTTTTTGATTATGTAATACTCAACTGACTAATAAAGCGGCCATTTTCAAGTGACATTAAGTAGATGTAATGAATAAGCTTCAGCTTTTACTGTTTGTTTTTAATGATTTATTAATTTTTTATCACCTACGTTTCTGTTCTCAAGCAGAGAGCCGTGGTGGCTCAGTTAGTTAGATGCTAGCTTGCTAACCTGAAGGTCCAGGGATCAATTTTGACATAAGTCAAGATGATACGTTCAGATTTTTTTACCCGGTTTCCCAGTGATAAGGGACTAACATGGACAAGGTGTCTAGTCGTTCGGATGTGACAATAAACCGAGGCCACATTTGCTCCAGACTGTGCATGTTAAAGATCGCTCGACAGTTGGAAATCGTAAAAGAGAAGGCTAATGTTGTCCTGGCAAAATCTCCCTCAATGCACAATGCAGGGCGTTGCCTTTCTTCATAAACCCAATCAGGTGCAGAATAGTAGGACGTAAAATTCCATTCATTTCATTTTCATTTGTTATGTTTGCAAGGGTAAAATCCTAGGCCTACTTCTGAATAATAATGGGAGATAACTGCATGCTACTTACTGAGTAACTCTTCAAGTGTTAGAAAATAGAAATAGTCAGCAAGTAGCAAGTATATAGATTAACATCCACGCACTTCCAAAATCTGTGACAATCATTACAAAAGTACAGCAAAAGTATTGAATCCATTTCAAAAAGTAGCTTCGATTGAAATAAAGTAATGAAAACACAACTCGTTTTTTTAACACAAATTCATTTTAAGTTTGAAATAAAGTAGATTTGTATTCCAGATTTATCATTACATTATTTTGTTGGCATTTTACACACACGCAATTTTTTTTGTATTTTGTCCTATTACTTGCAATAACTCCAGATAAATGTACATCAATTCAATGAGATCTGATAACCTTTACTGACCTTCAATAATGGTCAAATGGGTTTATTATCACACAAATTCATTAAAACTCTTCAATCTTATCGGTTACTCCAATACAATTGTTATATGTTCCTGGTGCAATGATACCATGAAATCAGTGGAGTATTTTGGCTGTAATTTTAGGCCCATGGCCCCCAACTTGGGCCATAAAAATGAAAAATTTAATCTACTAGTGCCCTCTTAAATCCGCAACAGAAGTGGCCCCCTCTGTCAGCACTAAATTCCATAAATAAGTACTTATTAGTACACAGTATTAACTGTATTAAGAGACCACCCAAGACGATAATCCTAAACGGTACCTTAATGGTGGAGGTCTCTTAGAAGAGAGTTGGGTCAGAATCAAAAAAAAAAATTTTTGTTTCGATGGCCATTTTATATCTTGTGGGAGACATAATTAATTAACAATTGAGTTCATCTTTTGAGGATTAGCAAATTGCCAGTAAGCTATAATCCCTATTAATCTCACCTGTATGTAAAACCATGTAATTTTCATACAAGCGAGATAATGAGAACTGTTATGGTCATAATACATCATCGATGATCACGTAATGAAGGTGGTGGATTACCAGTCATCAATCATATTGAAAAGTTGTGAGGAAATCTTTATTGTGGTGCATATTGAAGGTGGCTGTTTAATAAAGGTGGTCACATGACCAGGATTCACCTTATTTATGGAAGTAAAGTCTTAGATTCCTTGCAATTGAAGAATCTGTGAGGAACTGATATTATAACAACAGCTTATAACTTTGAAATGACAGTTTACGCCAGTAGTTATCAGTTGTGCTAAGTCGTTCTAAGGCAGGGTATATATCAATGTATCAAAGTATTATATATAAATATCAGGGTACATTTCCATATCGAGAAAAACGCAAAAAACTATTTGTATGCTTATTTTGTTTAACTCTTTTTTATCATTTTTTTTACCACTATACGTGGTTTTCATTCTTTGAATAATTAAACTTTGTTTAACAGTTTGAGTACTCCGGCCCATTCAAACGTATAATAGTACATTGTACAAGATTTTTTCATCTGCAGAAAAAAGAACAATGAACCATTGAAATAATATAATATTGTACGTGTCACCCACGATATATCGATTGCACTTTGGTTCCCTGTTTGAGAAAGACTCCTTGTGCATCAGTTGCTAATGTTTTACGACAATATTGGTTGTTTACCTAAGACGATAAAATCAGTTTATGGCAGTCTATTAAAACTGTTAACCTGTTAATTCAGTGTAAATCTCGACAACTGTCAAGGATGCAATAAAATGTTGTGAATTGTTAGTTGATCACAGTCCAGGACTTATTCTTCTTCAAGGAAAATCTTCCAGAGACTTTAATAATCATATCTGAACACATATATTTTATGTTAATTAAAATTAGACTCAACTTTCGTTCAGCTTTTTATTAGACCAAAACATCTGTCTCTATTCCAGCCACTGATAGCTATTTGGACAGATGTCAGCTGGTGTAGAGACAGAAATAATAAACCCTGTTGAATGGGGACAGTGATCTCCGCAGATTCTCCTATTTAGATACATCAGATCTGCAAATCCCAGGTATATTTGGAAAGATGAATATTTTTGGGTTTTTTTATCTTGAAAATAAATTTTCGTAGTTCAGTCATACCATCATTTTCTCCCTACACCATTTATGTCATGTCTCCGGTTCCATCAAAGTTTTTTTTTGGCGAAACTGATCTAGCATTGGCCATTTAAGACTGCATGTGCAGCCAAAAGTTCTAAGGTCACAGAGTCACGTGATACTAACAAAACGAAAGTTACAGTGATGCCCAACACTTATTTACAATCGTATTAAAGGTAATTCAATATTATGTTAGAGAAAACACACTTTGGAGATGTGGAAAATTCCCATTTATCAGGGTCTTTTTCTTCTGACTCTACTCCAGCTGACAACTGTCAAAATATCCATCAGAGGCTAGAAAGAGGCAGATGTTTCAGGCTACTTTTTTATTAGCTTTTATTCTTAATATCCTCACTTCAGTTAGGGTCTAACGACAGTCCTCTTGAATATTTATCAAATTAACCTCTTGATGACGTCTGCTTTATCCAATCAAACTTCTACCCTTTCCAGCCCTGACGACTGAAGTTTCCTCTAACTTTAATTAGACTGATTATGTAAGCAAGTTTCGACCACAAAAAGGATATAGATGAAAAGAAAGTACCTACCTTACAACCTTCACAAGTGGCCACACCATAATGGACACCGGTAGCTTTATCATTGCATATTCTACAATCACCAAAAGGAAAGGGAATGGCACCAACAGGCATCTTGTTGTATAAAGTCAGGCAAATTTATCTTAGTGAAAGGCATCCATCTTTATTTCATTCCATCTATTCATCTGAAAAACAAGAAATGAATTTTAAAGTTGCAGTTCCAGTAGCGCTGGCACCATAAATCGATGAATCCATGTATCATGTTACAACATGCCACAATACGTGTATCGTATCACGAGGTCGTGTATCAATTGACGATAACTCTCAGTCCATAAAAAAATTTGGATTTTAACTTAAATTTGAATTTTTATAAGTTGGTGAGTGATAAAAAATTTTTTTTCACTGACTTGACATCAATTCTTGTAAACTCTTTATAAGGCAGTTGATGTTAACCACTCCTACCAACTATATTACCAAATATCACAGTTATAAATTAATATATATTGAAACTTTAAAGATAAAATATTAATTTTTATGCCATTACCACATATCATGATATATGATATTGTGGTATGATTAGCGCTACGCAGCACTAAATTCCAGACAAACATTTAAAAAAAACTTGGTGTATTCAAAGTTGAAGAGCTTCAAATAAAAATTAACGTTTAACCAAAACATTACACAGTAAAAATTCAAAAATTTTAGTGACAACAAAGTCACAGTTTGTAAAAATCTATTATAGATATATTTCAACTATAATTCACCTGGACAGCTGCCATTTTTTTGATATAGAAATAGTTAGCAAAATTCCTAGTTTGAGATATTTTTGAAGGAATTATCAATTTTCGTACATTTCTAATACTTCTGCTCACTATCAACTTATTATATTCAAGACACAAATCAACACCATAAAATGGTGCACCTATCCCTTTAAATGAATACTACCTATAAAAATGAACAAACTTGGTGAAGGGAGTATAACACATTTATCAATGGATTTACCTGATGTCATAACTATACAACAGAATTCCTGTATAATCCAATAAATCTAAAAAACTTCTTAAGTCAGATTTGAAAGCACTTAAAATCTTTCAGATGTTTTTTTTTTAAATTATTAATGGTACTGAAATTGATTATTACTTAGTTATTGGATTATAGAAGGATTCTGTTGTTATGACACCAGGTAAATAAGTATATTCTCTTATAGGCCAAGTTTTAAGAATTTTATGTTCATTCTAAGAGGTGGTATTGGTCATTTGAATAAAACTAATTGTAATAATAATCATTCTATGATAGTTTGTTTTTTCTTCGAGGACATTGAAAGCATCAATTTACACCATTCCAAATTTCAATCAGATGTTTGTGGTTCCTACAATCCAATGAAACTAAGAATGTGATGACGTCACTAATAGCGAAGGGCGATAAAGCATATTTTGCTATAAGTGACATCATTAAATACTAAGTTTTAGGGAATCCGGAAAAGATCAATGTCAAAAGATTTAGCAAAGGACCCCAAAAGACACCTAAATTGTTATCCTTGTTGATTATAGGTGTTTCTTGTGTACTGTAAAGCTAATTAAAAGCCCTCTGTACTATTTTCTTAATCCTATTGCGAAACCAATTGACAACAAGATTATTAAGAGGCTTGATAGTTGGGAAATCTGGTTGTTATAAGATTTAAATGGAAAACATATCTGTCATAATTATATTGTCTTCTTGTCTTCATTTAATTAGCTTTTATCTTGACCTTTTTTTTTTCAAGAAGATTTATGTAATGGTTCAGATGTGATTTTTGTGTCGTATTTTTCTCAATTTTTTCTTCTGCACTATATTCTGGATAAGGAAGATGGATAAGGAAGATGGATAAAAAAGATGGATAAAAAAAGAAGGATAAAAAATATGGCTACTGAAGATGGATAAAAAAGATGGATAAAAAAAGATGGATAAAAAAAGATGGCTAATGAAGATGGATAAGAAAATTGGATAAAAAAAAAGATGGATAAGAAAATTGGATAAGGAAGATGGAAAGTGGATACAAGTTGCCCTATTCTGTCAAATTCTGTCAAATTTTAACATAACACTCCCACTCGCAACTCTATTTAATATCATCAATGATAGGGTCAAATTCAAACATGCACCCCAACCGGTGCCAGTATTGGGTTAACCTGACAAGGGGATGTTGATTTGAAAAATCAAATACTGATCTTAACATATGCTCAAGACCCTCTCAAACTTCTAGAGTCACCCTGATAGAGGGATAGGAGCTGAATACCTGGGGGATTCAAAATAATTACATAACTGGTTTTGACAACAGACTTTTGGAGCTATTTGTGACTTAATGCTTGGATATTTTAAATTGTAACTTTCACGAAAGGTAAGGGGTATCTTCCTGTATATGTTGGCATGTAGTTTCATGTATTTCACGCTCTAAGCCACAAAAACTGAATGAAAAAAAGGAGAATGCCCCTTTAAACTGTTACTGAATTTCAGCTACCTCAACTATAAATAGGACTCTTCACGGGGCACTAACAAAGTTGGGCATGATTACTAATATATGGAACATTTGATGTCCCTCTGCAACTTGGTTTGTCAACTTGAATTCCCTATCAGAGGGTTCACATAGCTTATTTGCCATGTTTTATATAATATGTAGGGTATATAAAATAACATTAGGCCTACTAAATAGAAAGTGTAACATGTTTAGAACTTGACATATTTGTTTATATAATGTCCTAATTTAGCCACCATACATTTCTATTACATGACATTACATTCTATAGATGATTCTGTTATAGAACTCAGCACTTCACCTGTTATTCAGTATTGTTTATTTTGAGTCTATATCAAAAACTTTACTAGCCATAAAAAAAGAATTACGCTTCTAATCTACTATAGATAAACTTCATTCAACCAGTAGTCATATGGAATTTGATACTGTATGCATTGACCTATTTTTAATTTGTAACAAACACACGGCAAAAATAACACAAATTTCTGAAACTTCAGGTACAGTACTAAAATAGTCCATGGTAAGAAGTTCACTTGAGGTAAATTATAACTAGGCCCTACATGCCAAATTCTATTACATCAATTCCAACGATTTTAAAATTGTCCACAAGTGTTGAAAATAGGCCTACATGTTTTTCTTCATATAAGATACATACTGATGTTAACATATGTATTAATTGTCCAAGAATAAGTCTGGTTTCGGGTTATTAACCCCAGAAGGTGATGGCTAATGTGGATAGAAAATAAAATAGATGTAAGTATTGTAATGACATACCTTCCAAATTATATTTAGACATTGATTTTAACCTCCTTTCTAAACGTACTATTCACTATAATAATGGCTATCATGTTTATGTTTTTCCTAACTGAGAAAGGGGGATAACTCTATTGGTAAAATGGCAGACCTGCCCCAGGAGTCAAGGCTAAACAATATTTTTACTTTACAAACTTTAAGGCGTTGAGATATCAATTATTTCTGTTAAAGGGGTATTCCGCTTTTTGGTAAAAAGTTTTGATTTTCAAAAACATCGTAAATTATGCCTGAAAATATTTCTAAAGTATGCTATTTATATCTATGTATCAACTTAATCTAGCTGGATTTGTTTTAAGAGGGTTAATTAAAAATAGAGAGTACTAATTGTTAATAAAGCAGTTTGACCTATTTATTGTGTTATTGTGGCTTTATAATGGCTCGATGTTATTAGTTGAAACCTTTAAAATAAGTAAAAGACATGTTTCTCGACAATTAGGCGTTAATTTTACTCAAATCTGCACAGTAGTTTTCTAACAGCTTCAACAAACTTAAAAACCTTACATAATATTTTTAAATATTTTTGGCATTTCAAAATTAACGGCTGGATTTCTTTACTTAAAATTTTCAGATACGTTAAAGGGTACATCTCTCTAGATTTTGGAGTATAGATTTCACAAATTTTAGCAAAAAATTTTTTCGACCTACAAAAAAAGCGGAATGTTGCTTTAACAGCAATGCAATTTTGTGGCCAATAATGAACATAATAAAAGTTTAGTATAGTAACCATAATAGTTGGTCTGATAGAAAATATATTTATGTCATGCATGATATAACTCAGTATAAATGACCTGTTTTTTTTTATATCTTCACAAATATGATTGATATCTAAGTTAAATTATATAATATTTGACACTATAAAATAGGGCTGGGTGATGTTGATTCAACTGGATATCACAATATTAAGCATTCGGACAAGCAACGAGTGCTTATGATCACTGAGTTAAATTCATATTCAACCCTTGAAAGCTGGGATAAATCAGGGGTTAAAATTAAGACAATATTATATGGTAATAACTCTGGAGTAATTTTTATATGCATGCGTGCCCAGATTTAATATTTAATCTGGCGATGAATAAAATAAATTTTATATTAGATAAGCACGAGTGAAAGATTCAGACACCTATCAATGAATACATAATTTTCTTAAATTTTTGTTGATCTTTTTCTATATAAAGCCTTCATTTTGAAGTCTACCTTTTTGTACGTTTCCTCAAATGTCTTTGCCGTAATAATTTAGATGTTGATAAACATGTTCATGTGATAACTAAATTGGAAAATTAATCAAAGTTATATTATTATGAATAATGTCATGCCGTTTACCTTCAATGTTAATTGAGTCGTCAATTTCAAAGAATGTCATGTTGTTCTGTTTACATGGTATATGAATACATGAACTAATTTGCATAGTAAATAACTATGAGTACATATGGCTTTTATGAACCTATGTTATGAACCCGAGAATAGAATTGTTGTGTGATAAATGATGATAATGGAAGCCTATTTACTTTTTTTTGAAACAAACAAATTTTAAATGCATGAAAAAAAATTAATATCCCTTAAAAAACCCCTAATCGTTATTAATATGAAACAAACATCTGTTTCAAATGTTTACTTACTAAAATTGTTTATCTGGGCAAAAATTTGATGATATATCATGATAACTACCATATTTCACTATACAGCAATATTTCGATATTACGAACAAATAAATTCTTATACCGGTATTTATCACGATACCGCCCAGCTATAATGTATAACGAAGATCAATTTCATTTTTTATTAAAGGAGCACC